GAAATAAAGTAAAATATCAAAAGTAGTTATTTCTGTGTGTTTAGATTGATTTTTTTAAAAAATTATTTAACTATATTTTATTTATTTATTTGACCAGAGAGGGACAGAAAGAGAGAGAGAGAAAGTGAGAAAGCAAGCTGCAAGGTGCAAGACTCAAACCGCAGTCACCCATGTGGTAGTCCAGCAGCCAGTTGGCCCCGATTGAGTGATTTTTAATTCTCTTAATTCTCTATAGTAATTATTTTTGACATTTTTGTTTTGAGAGTTATGAACATGAAGTTTTAAGATTTATGAACTGTTCCACAGGAATAAGTAAGTTCAGGTCATATACAGTGAAAGAGTGAGACCAAGACACAAATCCAGAAGTACATTGATATTTAAGGATAAGCAGAAGAGACTGAGAAGGAGTGGTAAAATGTAGGAGGAATATTTAGTGCCTTAAGAGCTAAGGAAGAAAGGTCAGTAGGTGGCATGGTGCTTAAAGAACTGGATTCTCATACAGGTGACTATGGTTCGAGTCCTGGACCTGGTGACTTGAAAATCATGTGTGTGTACCCAAAATCCTGAGAAGGGGATGGGGAGAAGGGGTTGTGGCATGCCCATTCCCCCTGGGGGGATGATTTCTCACTGTCTCTCTGTCTCTCTCTGGAGAGCACACACACACAGACACACCCTGTGGTAAAAGCCTAAAAAAGAAAAAAAGGTAAAGAAGAAGTGACTTCCTATTTTCTTTTCATTACAAATTTATTTTGTCAACCAGAAGCGTTTTCCAGGGGAAAGAAAAATAAATGAGCACCTAATATGAACACAACTATAACTGTTGCTAGAACATTCAATCCTTACCTCATCTCTGCTGATGAGTTCATTGGAAAAAGTAAGTCCAGGCATAAGACCTCTCTTCTTCAGCCAGAATATAGCAGCAAAAGATCCTGAGAAGAAAATTCCTTCTACAGCAGCAAAGGCCACAACTCTTTTTTTTTGGAGACACAAAATAGTTTCATTTTCTGAAATATCACATACTGTAGATACTTACAAATCTGTACAGATATGAATTTTTTTGTTTACAATAACACAACCATTTGGTCAAGAAACAAAATAAATGAGTTAGAGTCAGGGCCAAAAGTCTTCAGAGGGAGAAATTTGCCATCTCCACCTAGAAGAGCAGAATGTTGTCTACCTCAAATGCTATTTCAGACTGGACTCCTGTGGGCTTTGGAATCTGGATATATTCAAAAAAAGAGGTGCTTCACCTGTGCAACACACATCTGTGAGCACAGGTACATGTGTGTGAGCACAGTACACACACACTCATGTATAGTGGAGTGGAGAATAAGACAGACTTTATGACAAATATCTGTCTTTGTGGTTGAGAGGGGAGGTTGTTAAGGTTTCTACTTTTAGAAACCTAAGGTATATTACAGTCTAACTGTAATCATATCAAAAAATATTGCCATGCCATGCATCTGCAATAAAAAAAACCCAGTTGAAGATAATAAATTGTATATTAGATAAAATGTCTCATTTTATAAATAAAAATACTGTCTTCTATTGAACATATAAGGGTCAATTTCAAAAGTTACTAGACTGCGGTGACTACAAAGACCTTGCAGAAGCTCATCCTCTAAAATGTCTAGAGTTGCATCATATTGTAACACTAATTCCTAGGGAATGTATATAGGTTTAACCCAACCTGCTGGTCCCACTAAAGACTTTTTAAAAGTAGTCTAAGGTTGTCTTTAGGTAAAAGTAAACAACTAAAGGAGTCTGGATATGAAGAAAGGACAGTCGCTACCGTGGGTCCTGCGCAGTGCAGAATTCACCAAAGTCACTAAATATACTAGGCACAGTCTTAAGCCAAATGAAAGAGCTGTCCTGTGAGCTCTGCCTTGTTGAAGGTTAAAAAATACATTTCCATTTTATTGTCTTTTACCTATATTCCCCCCAAAAAAGAGCTGTTAATGTGTTCTTCACTCTTCTCTCTCCTTTCTTAGCCCACCCACCCAGTCTACTTCCCCCGCATCATTTTGAAACATGTTCTTTTTTCTGAGACCCTAAATCAGAACCTACATGGGATTTGTGTTGAAATTAAGCAACATGGAAAAATCTAACCAGAGCTTCTGAGATGGAAAATCTAACCAGAGCCTCTGAGATGACTGCATGGTGACTGCCACTGTCTTCTGTTTTTTTTCTATTAGGTTATCAGAAAAGTCTTGAGGTATTTTCTGTTTTTTCTATGTAAAAATGCAGCATGACTTTCCCTAAAACCCAGTATTTCTAGATTGTCTTTCTTTGGCAGTGTCATGACAACATTCTTGAAGTAAATCGAGCACAATACAAGTTAATCTGTTTCTTCCCTGATATGTTACATGCTTGCCCATACGCATATGACTGGTTCCCAAGGTACAGTCCAGGGGTCCCTGGAGTTCCAAATATTCAGGAGGTATGTGAGTTCAAAATTACTTTTATAACAACATTGTGTATTATTTATATTTTTTACTACCATTGTCTCATGAGTGCAATGATATTTTCCAGAGCCTACCTGACACATCCACAATAATCTGAAAAGCTTAATAAAATATTTTACCCTTTTGAAACTACATTATCTTTGAATTTTCTATATGTACTTGAACCAAAACAACATACTGCAACAAATTAATGCAAAAGTAAATATGATAATTCAACTATCTTCTATTAAGTTGGGCATTAAACAGATTTGTACTATTTTAAAATATGCCATTCTAATTTTTTTTGAAAAATATAGTTTTTTTTTTAATAAAAACTGTATTTATGTTACAAATAAAGGGTTAATCATTGGTATCTGAAAATGCACAAATATATGTTGCTGAATTTCTAATATGGAAATATCAATAGGTATAAAACACACAAATAAAAGCTATTTAGAGTATACTTTAGAGTCCTCGACAGTTATTTTTTTAAGAATTATTTTCTTTAACTTTATTTATTATTAATATTTTCCAGTTTGATTGGAGAGAGAGAACTTGAGAAAGCAAGCCATCAGGTCAGGACTTGAACCATGGTCAGCCATGGGGAGTCCAGCGCCTTTAGCCACCACGCCACTTGCTGGCCCCAGTTTTTAAGAGTACAAACAGGGGGACCAGCAGTTAGCGTAATAGCTATGTTGCTGGACTCTCATGTAGTAGACCATGGTTCGAGTCCCAGGCCCAGTGGCTTGAACTCATGCCAGGTGTGTGTGCATGAGTGCGTTCCTAAGATCCTAAGAGGAGAATGGATGAGAAGGGATTGCGGTGTGGCCATTCCCCCTGGTGAGTGATTTCTCGCTTTCTGTCTCTCTATCTCTGTCTTTCTGGCGAGTACGTGAGCCCTATAGCCAAAACCTCTCCAACAAAAAAAAAAGTACCAAGAGGTCCTGAGACTGGAAATTTTGAGATCTGTTTCCCCACAAAATGAATAAAATCAAAAAGTAAAGACCACTAATTATTATTTTTTTAAAGAATTATTTTATTTAACTCTCTCTTTCTTTCTTTGGTGCTGCCACCTGCCAGTACCAAAGACCACTAATTATAAAACAGTTAAGAATGAGACAGGTAGGGGTCTGGCAGGTGATGTGATGGTTAGAGCTCTGGTATCCCACATGGCCGACTGTGGTACGAGTCCCAGACCTGATGGCTTGCTTTCTCCTTTCCTCTGTCTCTCACTCTGTCCCTCATTCTGTCCCACTCTGGTCAAATTAAAATAAATGAATAAAGTTAAATAAAATAATTCTTTTTTAAAAAAAGAGAAGCATTTATCACTATTCAAATTAATATATGAACAGTTTTATTAATTTTAATAAATATTTGAATAGGTATTATGTATAAAATAAAATGTTAATCACTTCCTTTAAAAAATATTATCAGAGCTTAGCTTATCCAGAGGGTGTTTGCATTTAACTCATCTATAAAAATAAGACTGTTATTGCAAACTGTTTCCTTGTCCTGGTTTTCCACACATTAGTTTTTCAAAAACTAGGTATTTTTTCCATGAAAAAATCTTAAGATTTTTATTTGCTTTAAATCCTCAAAATAAACTTTTTTTAAAAGTAGGTACAGGAGCTGACAGGTGGCGTGGTGGTAAAGGTGCTAAATCCCACATAGCTGTATGGTTCGAGTTCCAGACATGGCAGCCTGCTTTCTCCCTTTCTCTCTCTCTCTTCCTCTTTCTGGTCAAACTAAAAAATAATAATGATAAATAAAATAAAATATTACTTACATAATATTTATATTTTATATTATATCTAACACAAATATAATTTATCTATATCTCAAATCTTCCCCTAGCCTGTTCCTGTTCCACCTATACCTTTCCCCATCAGAGCAAATGGCTGACTACTTTAGATGGTCAGTTACTCGGGCCAAAAACTTTGCAGTCATCCTAACTCTTCTTTTCAATTTTACTAAAGGTCGTGTGTGCTTGCCAGAGAGAGAGAGGTAAAGTGAGAAAAGCCATCCCCCACTCCCACAGGCACACAAGGAAGGATGGCCATGCTGTAATCCCTTCTCCTTCATTTTCCTCTGAGGATTTTGGGCACACGTGCATACATGCCTGGTGTGTTTTTCAAGTTGCTAGGCCCGGGACTTGTAGTATGTTGTTAGCTACGTTGGAGTCTAGCGTCTTAACCTCCATGCCACTGGCTGGCCCCCCCAAAAAAAATTCTTTAAAAAAAAAAGTAGGTACAAATTGAGGACTACTATAATACTCTTGTTAGATTCTATGTAACTGACTCTTATTTACCTGTAATTATACACTGATGTCTTAACTTTTCAACTTCTAACTTATTAAACATAATAGAGGGAACCAGCAGTTAGCGTAATGGCTATGTTGCTGGATTCCCATGTAGTTGACCGCGGTTCGCGTCCCGGACCCAGTGGCTTAGAACTCACACTGGGTGCGTGTGCATGTGTGCCCAAGATCCCAAGAAGAGAATGGAGGAGAAGGGATTGCGGCGTGACCATCCCCCCTGGGGGATGATTTCTCGCTTTCTGTCTCTATGTCTCTCTCTGTCTGTCTGGCAAGCGCACACGCCCTATAGCGAAAACCTCTCAAAAAAAAATAAAATGAAAGTTTTATTTTAACAGTTTCTAAGTAATTTAATTACAATGAACTCAATTAGTTTTTAATTTAGTTAATTATTAGGAATAATGATTTTACTAAAGTTAAATATCGAGACATTTGTACTCTTTTTAATGTTGTGACTTTGATTAGTACTGGGTAGTCATACCATGTAAAATAGTGTCTTATTACCTGAGACAAGTGTGATAAAATATAAATTAGTGCTACATACCAAAAGTAGATTTTCTATCTGCTATCCACCGCAGAGCCCAATCTGCTTTTTTCTTGACATATGGCATTGTTTCAATTGCATTAAATAAAAATTCCCTGTAAAAACAAAAGAATTAATGGCAAAGTTAATCACTTGCTTTTCTTTCTTTTCTTTTTTTTTTTTTCTTTTTTATTTTTGAGAGGTTTTTGCTATAGGGCGCATGAGCTCACCAGAAAGACAGAAAGATACAGAGAGACAGAAGCAAGAAATCACCCCCCCAGGGGGATGGCCACACCGCAATCCCTTCTCCTTCATTGTCCTCTCAGGATCTTGGGCACATACGCACATGCGCCCAGGATGAGTTTAAGCCACCGGGTCTGGGACATGGGAGTCCAGCGACATAGCCATTACGCCAACTGCTGGTCCCTCACTTGCTTTTCTTAACAAAACTGAATTTTCATAATTTAACTGATAATAATTGTAACAAATCTGTATGCTACCAGATTTGTAGTTTTTCTAAATTTTTGAGTGTCCATAAAATATAGAAATGAAAGTAAAACTCAATTAGTGGTTTGGATCTGGTCTTATACTAAATCAGCTAAATGTAATTTCTAAACAGAATGTGCTAATGAATACTTTTTAAAGATATGAAGCTAGGGACCAGCAGTTAGCGTAATGGCTATGTCGCTGGACTCCCATGTAGTCGACCGCGGTTCGAGTCCCGGACCCGGTGGCTTAAACTCAAGTCGGGCACGTGTGTGTGCTTGCCCAAGATCCCGAGAGGAGAATGGAGGAGAAGGAACTGCGGCGTGGCCATCCCCCCCTGAGGGTTGATTTCTCACTTTCTATCTCTGTCTCTGTCTGGCGAGCGCATGCGCCCTATAGCAAAAACCTCTCCAAAAAAAGGGAAAAAAAAAAAAAAGATATGAAGTCTAAAGACTAACTGGTCCTATGCAAGTTTCCCCAACACATGATTAAGCAATAATTAAACATTATTAAGCAATAGAAAACATTATACTTGGGACCAGCAGATGGCATAATGGCTACTTTGCTGGACTCCCATGTAGTCGACCGTGGTTCAAGTCCCAGACCCGGTGATTTAAACTCACACCAGGTGCATATGCGTGCATGCCCAAGATCCCAAGAAAATGGAGGAGAAGGGAATGCAGTGTGGCCATCCCCCCTGGGGAGTGATTTCTCACTGTCTGTGTCTCTGTCTCTCTGTCTTTCTGGCGAGCACACACACCCTATAGCAAAAACCTCTCCAGAAAGAAAGAAAGAAAGAAAGAAAGAAAGAAAGCAAGCATGCATGCATGCATGTATGCATTATACTTGCAAACTTGCATATTTGAAAAATCTTCCTTTGACATTTAGTTTTAGGGTAAATTCTGCCCTGAGCATAATGTAGCAATGAAATAAATTTTATAAATACCAGCAATCATACCTTTTCTTTGGATCTCTTATGTAAGTGTCTATTAGCAAACTGTACATCTCTGAGTGAACATTCTCGATGAGAATTTGAAAGCCATAGAAACAACGAGCCTCTGGAATTTGTACCTCCTGACTAAAGCGTTCCACCTAAGAAAATAAGGGAGAGATATATCCAGGTCTATAGGCACTCATTAAACACTGATTAAACACTACCATGCAACAAACTGGTCAAACGGACCTTGTAAATTATTGTAAACAGTATTTTAAGTAGCACTGTTTATCCGTCAACTCTCAATAAATTAGTTGCAAAAAATGTACTCTTACACAATTAAATCAATTGCCCTGTTAGGTATAGACACTGCCTACAGAGTCAAATACATTTCAGAACATCTACGGAAAATAGGGAACCAGCAGTTAGTGTAATGGCTATGTGGCTGGACTCCCACGTAGTTGATCGCGGTTCGCGTCCCGGACCCGGTGGCTTAAAACTCACGCCGGGCGTGTGTGCGTGCATGCCCAAGATCCTGAGAGGAGAATGGAGGAGAAGGGACTGTGGCGTGACCATCCCTCCTGGGGGGTGATTTCTCGCTTTCTGTCTCTATGTCTCTGTCTGGCGAGTGCACGCGCCCTATAGCAAAAACCTCTCCAAAAAAAAAAAAAAAAGGACATCTACGGAAAATAATTCTCTTGCTTTGTAAAACGGACCTTGAGTCATTTTTCTGCCAATAGTGGACACATCTACTGAAGCCTCTTCTAGTTCACAGTCAAAGTTTCTTTCTATTCTATTATTATGATGATTATGATGATGATGATGATGGCCAGAGGGCACATGCACTTGCCAGAAAGAGAGAAAACATCCCCAATGGAGCATGGGCACACGGTAATCCCTTTTTCTACATTTCTCCATCCCATCAGAATTTGGGGTGCACAAACACACGTTCCTGGAGTGTTTTTCAAGTCATCTTCAGCCATATGGGACCCAGCTCCCTATGCACAGCACCTAACCACTGCACTAAGGGAGCAGGTCCATCTTCCAATTCTCTTTTACCAAGAAAGTACGCCTTATGATCAACCATAATACAAATTCTACAAAGGGGAGTCATGCCAGTGTTCTATTACAGGGCTTCAGAAGGTTATAAAGACCCAGGCTCTCCATTAAGATTATAATCTGTGCCAGAAGGTGGCATGGAGGCTAAGATGCAGATCCTACATGGTGGATGGAAAATCACGCCAGGCGCGTGTACATGTATGCATGCTCAAAATCCTGAGAGGAGACTGGAGAAACTGAGATTGCAGCATGGCCATCCACCCAGGTAGTTTCTCACTTTTTCTCTCTCTTTGGTGAGCCTGTGCACTCTGTAACAAAGTCTAAAAAAACTATTATAATCTGAGGGTAAAAAAAAATCAAACTCCTGTTTATCATGAAATTAAGCATAATTTTGATTGCTGTAATTTATGATTAATTTCATATTTTGCTGGTCAAGTGACAGAAATACATTCTTACCTTTGGGACCAGCAGTTAGCATAATGGCTATGTTGCTGGACTCTCACGTAGTCGACCGCGATTCACCTCCTGGACCCGGTGGCTTAAACTCATGCCAGGTGCATGTGCGTGCAGGCCCAAGATCCCAAGAGGAGAATGGAGGATAAGGGATTGTGGCATGGCCATCCCCTCTGGGGGGTGATTTCTCACTTTCTGTCTCTCTGTCTCTGTCTGTCTGGCAAGTGCATGCACTCTATAGCAAAAACCTCTCCAAAAAAAAAAATACATTCTTACCTTTGACACTATTGATCAGAAAAACATTTTCAGCTAAACTTCATCTAGCTCATTTCTAGATATGCATTTCTTCTTTATTCAGACTCACTCTAATAATTTTACTGTTATCATCATCATTAACTGCTGAATGGAAACAAAAGTAAAATAAAAGTCTTACCAAATTTTCATTTACAATTCCATCACTGGCTGCAAAAAAGGCTAAGATGTGAGAGATAAAATACTTTTCATCTGGCTTTAGCTTATTCCAGTGAGGGAGATCCTTTGATAAGTCGACCTGGAATAAAAGATTTTTTTAATATTTAACTTGGAGTTAAATTATTTTCAAAGTGTTTGGAAAACTAACTTCTGCCTCTAAGTTCAACAGGGACATCCCATTACCGGGTAAATGTGAAAAAGAAAACATATTAACATTAAAAAGAAACAAATTAAAACAAAAACACTATAAAAGAATCGGACATTCTGTCTAATTGAGAAGCTTTCCAGGTTTTTCTTTAAAAATATTAAAAAATGGGGCCAGTAGATGGCGTGGTGGTGAAGGGCACTGAACTCCCACATGGACTAGCGTGGTTCCAGTCCTGGACTTAGTGGCTTGTGCTGTTACTGCCCCCACCCTCCACCCCCCACACCCCCCCCTGGCTTCTCTCACTGTCCATCTCTGGTCAAATTTAAATAAATAAATAAAGTCAAATAAAATAACTCTTTAAAAAATTTAAAATAACAAGATCTAGTGGCACTAGAGCAAATGAAGGAAAAGGGGAGAAAGTAAAAACTAGTGAAGAAGTAACTTAGGTGAACAACTAATAACTTTCAATAGCCATTGCTTTAACATTTTATATAATATTTAGTAGGGTATTAGATAATTAGGCTCCTGGTTAACCAATCATAACTGCTACTTTATAGTTAATTAACCTGCTTTTATACTCAGAAGCACTGTCAGTCAGGTAACAATTTGAATTTTAAGGCAGTTCATAGGTATGGCTTCCTCTGGGAATAGAAATATTTTTCAAAAAAATATTTGATAGAATTTGTCCTCATGTTAATAATTAAAAGAAAGATATGCTCTAGAATTTGGTGGCTTATTGGGGCCAGCAGATGGAGTGGTGGTTAGGAGCTCTGGACTCCCACATGGCTGACCACAGTTAGAGTCCCGGACCTGGCGGCTTGCTTTCTCACTTTCTGTTTTTTTTTCTCTCTCTCTCCCTGGTCAAATTAAAATATATAAATAAAGTTAAATAAAATAATTCTATTAAAAAAAAAGAATTTGGTGGGTTATTTTAAAATAGTTACTGAGTGTACTTTGCTGTCTGAGTCAGCCCTGGCTGTAATAATAAGTTATCACAGATTGGATGGCTTAAGCAACAAACATCTATTTCTCAACCTTTTGTAGGCTAGAATTTCAAGATCAGGATGCCAGTATAGTTGGGTTCTCGGTGAAGGTTCCCTTCCTGGTTTATAGACAACCACCTTCTTGCTATATCCACACATGGCAGAAAAAGATACCATCACTCTCATATCTTTTCATATAAAAAACACTGATTCCATTCATGAGGGTTCTCATAACCTTCATGACCTAATTACCTCCCAAGGCCCAATCTCCAAAAACAATCGTGCTGGGGATTAGAGCTTCGACATTGGAATTTGGGGAGGAAATAGAAACATTCAGTCCATAGACATGTAGATATAATTTTGTCTGAGGAAGATCTCTTAAGTACGTTTTACTGTAACTTCATAAGCATGTATAATATAAAATTGTCCTTTGTCTTTTGTTGTTTTATTTCAACAAAATCTGAATTTTTTGAGCTTTCCAAAAACTTCTATTCCATTCTTTTAATCATTTGTGATCTTTTTAAGAGAGCGAGAGAGAGAGAGAAGGAAAGTGAGAAAGCAAGCTGCCAGGTCTGGGACTTGAGCCGTGGTCAACCATATGGGAGTCCAGCGCCCTTAACCACCCCCCCCCCCCCCCTGGCCCCTAGAGCCTTCTTTTTTTTTTTTTTTGCTATAGGATGCATGCGCTCGCCCGAAAGAGAGAGAGACAGAGAGACAGAAAGCGAGAAATCACCCCCAGTCCAGCACACCAGAGGGGATGGCCACGCCACAATCCCTTCTCCTCCATTCTCCTCTCGGGATCTTGGGTACGCACACACATGCACCTGGTGTAAGTTTTAAGCCACCAGGTCCGGGACGCGAACCGCGGTCGACTACGTAGGAGTCCAGCGACATAGCCATTATGCTAACTGCTGGTCCATGAGCCTTCATTCTTAATAGCATGTGTTTGCATATATAGAATCAATCTCTTGAAAAATGTATACCTAGATAGATCCAAATATATTTATCCAAATAGATACATCTATCTATAGAGATGGAGATACAAATACATATACACACATAGAGCAAAAGTGCTATGCAAGTACCATCCATCTTATTTAAAGATCAAGACAATAACTATCTGTGTGTTCAGTGAGACCACAGAACAACCACTTCCATGATCAACTTTTCTTACTAATTCAGCAAGTATTTTCTAATTTGCTGTGCATAACTCATTTCCTAGGTGGAAAATATCATCCTAACATAAAAGCATTCTATAGCTGTCCTGTCTGTTAGGGCATCTGTGCCAGGCTTGATGTGGCTGAAGACAGTGACAGACTAGGAGGAGCACTGTGAATTCAGTCTGTCAGATTTAGGAATGTAATGGTTTGATGGTCAAATGGTTTACATGACAGCAACTCTGTGCAATCATATAAGTCTTCCAGTTGAAAGCAGTCTCTAAGGCTTTAACTCTCATTTTTGACTATAACTTCATTCTGATGATCATAAATAAAAACAAGTCTTAATTGGTCATGGAAAACCAAAAATCTATTTAAAAATAGAAAATGTTCTGGGACCAGCAGATGGTGTAATGGTTACATTGCTGGATTCCCACATGGCTGACTACAGTTCAAGTCCCAGACCCAGAGGCTTGAAATTCACACCAGGCATGTGTGCTTGTGTGCCCAAAATCTCGAGAGGAGGTGGAAGAGAAGGGACTGCAGTATGGCCACCCCCCTTGGGGATGATTTCTTGCTTTCTCTCTTTTTCTGTCTCTCTGGCAAATTCACGTGCTATATAACAAAAATCTCTCAAAAAAAAGAAAAAATAGAAAATGTTCTAAAATATATTGGAAGTAAAAATATGGCAGAATGAGATGCTATTTTTGCAACAATGAAACACTGTAATTAATATCAGTAATTCCAAATCTTATCTTATACAACTGATGTTACTCAATATATCATATAAGTTAAATTTTTTTCTATGTCCTATAACACAAGAAGTGAACACTGCATTAGAGACATGAATGCTGATGAAGGTGATGCCACATACCTCTTCTGCTGTCCAAAACGATGCCTGTGCCTGTTTATACATCTTCCAGATATCGGGGTACTGTATTGGAAAGATGACAAATCGGCGAGAACTCTTTCTTAGAAGTGGTTCCTCATTTGACGTCACTTCATTTTCACTGGTATCTGAAGATAATCTCTTTGAGAAATAAAGTACAGCCATCTTTTTTATGTAAATATTGCTCTTTATTCATGTCTAAACATATATCTGAGGGAGCTGGGGGAAACAGCATAGGTTTGGGAGCCAGTCTGCCTAAATTGAATCCTTATTATTATCTGCTGGCTGGCTAATAGTGTTTGGTCAGTTGTGTGACCACAAGACACTGTTTAACTTCTTTTGAGCCTTGGTTTCCTCAGTTTTAAAATAATACTTACTTTACTTAGGTTTATCTGATGTTTAAAAGTGCTTTAAGCTAAGCCTGGTAAACATAAGCACTGAAAAATTTACTATCATTATTGCTACTTTGATGATAAGCACAAAGCTAGACTCCTAAATGTCATGATGGACAGAGTTCTAAGTTTATGAACAAAACACTCCTTAGTACCTCTCTGACATAGAATGTTGTCATGAATGGATACTGTTATAGCTACTTTTTAATTTTTTTCTAATCTTAACTGAAATACTATCATATTGGGTCATTAGAAGTCATGACACATTTTTGCATAGAAAAACATAGAAAAAATACATCATGCCTTTTCAGATGATCCAATATGTATCTGAAAATTCCTTATCAACAACTTTTCAGCCTTTGTCCATCTTAATCTTCCCATGTACCAACTTGTTAGTTACTTAAATTTTAACTTACCACATATGGCCTCCCTGTGGGTTGTCCCAAAGATTTGTGGAATAAAGAGAAATACATATCTATACATACTGCTTGAAAACATGACAGAACTCTAATAGCAAATTACTACACACACACACACACACACACACACACACACACACACATATATATATATAGATAGATAGATAGATAGATAGATAGATAGATAGATAGATATTTTTTAATAGTCAGCAAAAACATCAGAAGACTGGGGCTGGCAGGTGGTGTGGTAGTTAAGATGCTGGACTCCCCCATGTCCAACTGTATTTTGAGTCTAAGACCTGGCAGCTTGCGTTCTCACCTTCTCTCTCTCTCTCTCTCTGGTCAAATTAAATAGTAATACTAAATAAAATTAAATAAATAATTCTTTAATTTTAAAAAATCAACAACAGAAAGGTTGTACATGCATAAGTATATACAAGATGTCCAAATCAGGATTACTAGATCATATTCAAATTCTATAGTCCTAACCAAACTACCTTTCTCTCCTATGCCAGTCCTATAGTGTACCTTAAACCTTTACCACTGCCTCCACCAATAGTGATACTTCTCCAAAGTGTGTGTTATTACAAATGTATTATCACAGATGAGGCTAAGGCTAATTGGAACCAGAGAAAGGAGGCTTAAAAAACATACTAGGTGGAGCCAAGAGGTGGTATGGAAGTTAGGACAGCTGGATCTCACATAGTCCACACTGCAGTTTGAGTCCTAGCCAGCAGCTTGAAAATCATGCCAAGCACATGTGCGTGCATGAATAAATCCCAAGAGGAGAATGGAGGAGAAAGGATTGTGGTGTGATTTCTCATTTCCCTCTCTCTCTCTCCCTTTCTTTCTGGTGAGCAAACATGCCCTACAGCAAAGACTTATAAAAGAAAAAAAAACCAGGCATATGTGTGTGTGCACACCAGATCACGGCAGGATGGAGAAATGGAGAAGTGACTATGGCATGACCATGTCCCATTGGAGAGTTCTCTCTCTCTCTCTTTCTCTCTCTCTCTCTCTGGCAAGCACATGTGTCCTCTGGCAACTGAAAAAAAAATTTATTTAATTTAATATCCTCCTCCCACCAAAGGCTATGCCCCATGGAGAGGATGCTTTCTTTCTCTCTTGCACACATGTGAGTGCACATGACCTCTGGCAAAAAAATTTAAAAATAGGGGCTAGCAGGTGGTGTGGTGGTTAAGGTAGCTGGACCCCCATGTGGCTGACTGCAGTTTGAGTCCCAGACCAGGCAGCTTGTTTTCTCACTCTCCTTCTTTTTCTCTGTCTCTCTCTGGTCATCTTCAAAATAATAATAATAAAAAATAAATTAAATAATGATAATGAATAAAATTAAGTAATTTTTAAAAATTTTAAAATAAATCTAGAATCCAAAACTAGTGACATGAACTAAGGTTAAAGGAGTATACATACTACCTCTTGTTGAAAAAAGATAATTTAACAAATGGTAATGATGTAAGAAGTGAAATGAATGTGGAAAAAACCACCTAATTTTATTCCAGGAATAAATGAGAAAAATAATTTCCTTATAAATAAAATTGAAAGAACTAAGGTGATATGAAGCTGGTGAAAAACTGTCTAACTAAAAAAGTGTAAGGCAATGATTTTTAACTAGTGAATGTTTCGAAATCTACAGGGTAATTAACACTTTCTCATAAAAAAAAAATGCATTAACCTTGTAATAACATACCCTTTGCCTTACCTCAGTTAAAACCCCTGAATGTAATGAGATCATGAAGCATGTCATGGATAGAGATGTGAATAATGTAACAATTAAAAAAAAATTGAAAATCAATATTTTGGAAATCCAAATCTCAGCATAACTAAAACAAACAAAATGAGCATGTTTTATTCCAGTGGGGTTTTTTTTGTTTGTTTGTTTGTTTGTTTTTTGTCAGATTTTTGCTATAGGCAGTGTGTGCTTGCTGGAGAGACAGAGAAAGAGAGACAGAAAGCAAAAATCACCTCCTAGAGGATGGCAATCTAGCAATCCCTTCTTCTCCATTCTCCTCTCGAAATTTTGGGCAAGCATGCACATGCACCCGGTGTGAGTTTTGTTTTGTCTTTTGAGAGGTTTTTGGTATAGGGCACGTGCACTCGCCAGAAAGAGACAGACAGAAAACGAGAAATCCCCAGGGGGGATGGCCACGCTGCAATCCCTTCTCCTCCATTCTCCTCTTGGGATCTTGGGCATGCATGCACACATGCCCCGCGTGAGTTTAAGCCACCAGGTCGAGGACTTGAACCACGGTCGACTACATGGTGGTCCAGCGAAATAGCCATTACGCTAACTGCTGGTCCCCAGGCATGAGTTTTAAGCCGCTGGGTCTGGGTCTTGAACCATGGTGAAAGATTTGGGAATCCAGCAATGTAACCATTATGCCAGTCTGGTCCCTTATTCTAGTTTTTAATTGCCAGAGGGTATGTTCACTAAAGAAAGACAGAAATCAACCCCAAATGGGACATGGTGTTGACACCGTAATCCTTTTTCCTCCATTTCTCCGTCCCATCAGAATTTTGGGCACACATACGCCCCACATGTTTTTCAGGGTATAGGGGCCAGGATTCAAACCACAGTTGGCCATGCATGATCCAGCTCCCTGTGCCAGGGCTTAACCACTGTGCCAACCCTCTGGATTGTACTATTTTTTCCCTTAATTTTGCCAGATGGCATGTGTGCATGCCAGAGAAAAAGAAATCATTGCTGTGAGGAATGATCATGCCACAGTCCTTTCTCCATTTCTCCCTCCTTTCAGGATTTTTGGGCATTCACACACATATGTCCAGTATGTTTTGAAAGACACCAGGTTCAGGACTCAAACCATGTATTCAGTCACATGGGATCTAGCTCCTTAACCACACAAGCTAGCCCCAGATTTTGTTTTTTTAATGAATTGTTTTACTTAAATTTATTTATTTAAATTTGACCAGAGAGGGACAGAGTGAAAGAGAAAGGGGGGAAAGTGAAAAAGCAAGCTGCCAGGTCCGGGACTGGAACCACATCGGCTATGTGGGAGTCCAGTGCCCTTAACCACCATGCCACCTGCTAGCCCCAGTAATGTACACTTTTAAAATTACTGTTGGGGTCAGCAGTGTGGTAAAGGCATTGGACTCTCATTTAGCCAACCGTGGTTTGAGTCCCAGAACTGGTGGCTTAAAAATCATGCTGGGCCAGGGCTGGCAGGTGGTGTGGCAGCTAAGGGCACTGAACTCCCACATGGCCGACTGTGGGTCAAGTCCAGGGCCCGGCGGCCAGGTCCTGGCGGCTTGCTTTCTCGCTTTCCCTCCCTCCCTCTCTCTGTTCCTCTTTGGTCAAATTTAAATAAATAAATAAATAAATGAAAGTTTAAAAATCAAATAATTCTTTTTAAAAGAAATCATGCTGGGCATATGTATGTGCATGTGCACAAAATTCTGAGAGACGTAGAGGAAGATGGACTGTGGCGTGGCACCCCCCCTCCCCTCCCCCCCTCCCCGGAGGTGATTTCTCACTTTCCCTCTATCTCTCTCTCCAGCAAGCGCATGCACCTTATGGGGAAAATAAATAAATAAACAAATAAATAGGACCGACAATTAGGATGTTTCCAGTTGGTCTTTTAACAACTCTCCCTGTATTCAAAGGATTATTATATTGGTTATTTGATCAACAAATACCTTCTATAAAACTGCCAAGAAACTCTCATTCAGAACTGCTGGAGAGTCTTAAAACATGAGATAGTAGGGGCCAGCAAGTGACATGGTAGTTAAGGCACTGGGCTCCCACAAGGTCAACAGTGGTTCAAGTCCCAGACGAGGTGGCTTGAAAAATCACAGCAGGCACATGAACTGTGCATACCCCAAATTCAGAGAGAATGGAGAAGTTAATACAAGGTGGCCATCCCCTCTGGGGTTTCTCACTTTCCCTTTCTCTGTATCTGTCTGTCTCTCTCCAGCAAGTATATAAACCCTATAGCCAAAACCTAAAAAAAAAGAGATACTGAAGGGCTGGCCCCATGGCCTAATGGTTAATAGAGCCAGATCCCACAAGGCTAACTGTAGCTGAGGTACCAGCCCCAGTTCCTTGAAAAACCACTCACTGTGTACTGAAATCCTTATAGGATGGAGAAATGAAGAAAGGATTGTACTATGACCATGCCCCACTGGAAGGTGCTTTCTCACTCTCCCCTTTTTTCTGTCTCTCTCTAACGAGCACACATACCCTCTGGAAACTAAAAAATAAATAAAATTTGTGTACCAGAATCATCTAAAGTGCTTGTTATAAATGCAGATTCAGACCCATCCCAAGAGATTTTAATTCACTACTATGGGATGTGGGCCCAGTAATTAACGTGTTTTTACAAAGTACTCCAGGTGATTCTTCTGTAAGTAGCCCAGGCTGCACCACCACATCTACAAAAACAAAGTGCTTAAGGCATCCTTGCTCATCAAATTCAAACTTTCTGGACAAGTTCGCTAAAATTCATTCTAGATATAAAATTCTGCCTCTACCTTTGCCAGCCTGTATCATTGGGACAGGGATAATAAATAAAAGTTAATACTTAGGTGTTTTGCCAAAATGACTGCTAGTGCCATTAGCACAAACAAGTCTAAATTATCCCACTTGAGTGGGGAAATTGCTACTAAATGTGTTTTATGTCAAAAGAGGAAGAAAAGGTTTAAAGAACATTTATAGTTTTTTTAACTAGTTAAATGTTCACAAAGTCAAAATGAAATAAAATCAAATCCCAAACCTAGAATCCACACCTTTCTAAAGAAACTAGCACTAACCATGAACCTCTATGAGCCGAAATTCTTTTGTGTCCTCTATATTTTCTCAGTATTAAAAATCCAAGGCAATAGGTTCAACTACATAAACTATTTCTCTTACGAAAATTATAAAGCAACGATTTAAACTATTATGTCATACCATTATGCAGCCTAATAAATCCGGGCTTATTTACTGTTATTAAGTATTTCTATTAGCACAGAAAGAGAGGATTAAAAATTAAGTTTATTAAGCACCTACGACCTTCGTGGTACCCTGCAAAACCCCCTTTACTTAATGCTCTGTGAGAGAAGTATCACTTCCTGTGTATAAATAAAGCGACACACCAAAGATTCAGTTTAGTCGGGTCTAAGCAAAACGGGCCTCCTAACCTAATTTTTCTCGCGGTCACGAGGATTTTCCTGTCTCCCTATCTTCCCACCATTTCTACCCCCATCCACCTGTGTCAATCCACACGTGTACTCCAGCTCCCACCCCAGAGATAAAACGCATCTCCCTAAGAAATCCGCCACAGTCCTCTTTTCTAGCCCGTCTCCCCTAGTCGGCTCCAGAACAGGGCTAGGGGAGGCCAGCACGGGGTGTATAAACTGGGGGTGCGTCCGACCCGGCCAGGCGCCTCAGAGCCTTGTCCTAGGCTGGCCCGGGGCAGAGCGGAAACCCGACTCGCTCCTCACCCTCCCCGGGGACTGCTTCCCGGGCGCTGGCAGTCACCAAGCCAGGCTGCGGCAAGGACGCGCGACGGGGCCTGCCCCGAGCTGCGACAGCAATGACAGAAATGCCCTACAGTGATCCTATAACCTGCGGCTGTCCGCCGCAACTGCCAATCTACAGGCCGGGCGTGACTGTGGGGCGGAGGATGAAGCGACGGCAACATTTACCTCATCCTGCTCGGGCCTGGCCGCTTCCGGCCTTTTCGGGTCACTCATTGCGCAGACTCGGCCAGAGCTGCTGGAGCTGAGGGACTGAGCGCAGCCGGCCACCAACTACCACAGGACCCAGGTGGCCCGCGGGTCTGCGGGGTCCGCCCCGCCCCCGGCCGCAGGCCTTGGTCCTACGCGGTGGAGCTCCGCCCTCCCGCGGCTCCAGCGGGCTCTCTCGCCGGCCTTCTGAGGGCTCTTCCTGCACCCGCCGGGCCCCACCTCCCTGCCTCAGGGGCCCGCCTACACCCGCCGACCCCGCCCCGCTCCTCTGTACTGTCCCGGGTTCCCTGCCTGCGGCCCG